GGTCTTGTATTGTTCATGAGAAAACCACGCAAGCCAGGCAAAGACTAAGTTTATGTCCCCAAGAGGAATGTTAAAATTTCCCTCAAAATCATCAGGACATAAAACGGGCTCTTCATGACTTTGAACCGCGCCTCGCCCACTTCCACAGAACGGTATTTTCTTTTCCCAGAATCTGACCCCTGGCTGCGACCAAAGGTTGTTTGCTGCCATGTCGGCAAATGAGCAATTTTGAATCAACTAAAGTTGCATGACTCACCCCTCCTTGGTCCTTTACACAGACGGTCATACATCCCACCCCCGCCCACTTTTTTCTGCCCTTTCCCCCCCACACCCACCGATGTGGGAGCGCTCTTTCTTCCAAAGTATCCTTCAGGATGAACTCATCCCAAACCGCTGCTGTAAGAACAGAACCAGCTTTCATGAAACGGCCCCTGTCACATCATCGTGCCCTGAATTGCTAATGTGGAAAATTACGTGCTTCAAAGCATGATGTCAGTTCTTCAAGAACTACTGTGAGAAAGTTAGAGAATTTTTTAAAAATGAGACATTTAAAGAAGGCTTTTGTCAGTCTTTACAAAATTAAACTCTTTGGTAATGAGGAATGCTTTGACCTTTCTTTGATTCGGCCTTCTAACCCCAAAGGTCCAGCATTAGGAACCACTGCTATGGCAGGAAAAAAACAAGAAAAAAAGAATGCTTCTTTATCAGAAGGTGACCCGGTTTGACTTTTTGGGGTTTATCTGGGAATGCAGGAATCTAAATGGGTAAAAAGGTGAGAGGTTAAATGTTAAAAGGAAGGAATGCTGAGAGAGAAAGAAAGATATGTCATGGAACACAAAGCAAAAACAAGGCTGCTTTGGTTTGTGGAAGACCAGAAACAGTGGACATTTCTTCATACAAATAGTTTTCTGCAAGAAAACTCAAGTTACAGGAGTGATGCCCCCCAAAAATATTCTTACTCCTTTGCCTATTTAAATTTCAATGTCACTTTATTTAATTAAATGTTTCTGTCCGATAGGAAATTAAAGCGTTCCATAAGAATTTGGAATTTACCAAAAGTTATGTCAATTTGGCTGTGGCGAGGAGCTGCAGGTCGTTGAGGTCTTGATCTTGAGCTCCTCCCACAGATTATGTATCAGATTGCATTTTGGAGTCTGGCTGAGCCACATTTCAGAACAGTAAGTATCAATAATTTCGGCATTTAATGGTCATATCCTATAAAAACAGATGATATAGCCATTAAGAATATTATGGTAACACAGCAATTTCTCAGCAGGAGATAAGGGATAGCTTTTTCATATCGCAAATGTTACAAAAATCCATAAAATAGCTCCATATTTAATCTAAGGAAATGTAAAAAAAACAAAAAAGATTCAAGATGTGATTGTAGACATTTATGAAAAAGTAGCTTCACAGACTTGCATTTGGAACTTATTCAAGCATTCGGTATACCGATGTGAGTGAATCTTCATCAAAGTAGACAATGTTACCATCAAGTCACTGCTGCAACATTCATGAAACAAGATGTAATGTACATAGTAGTAGCACCTCTAACACCAAAACATTGCAGGTCTTTTGCATGATTTTCACACTCGAGCTACAAAGTTTTTCAATTTTTCAAATAAATGCACAGCTTAGTTGGAGATCAAATTACCTTCATACAGTTGATGCTGGAATATCAATAATCTTCATACACCATTTTGGAAAGTAAGGCAGGTGGACAATCATACAGAGATAAAAACACTATATCATCAATGTAAGTTTTCTCTTCTTTTGCTCCCTAAAATTAGTTGATCCATGTAAGACAGTCCGTCCTTCTTTGTTAAAAATGTGCAGGGTCAAAGTAACTGTACAATCCACATGGGACACTGTGTAAAGCTTCATTACACAATGTCAACTTGAAGGATTCAAATATTTGTATCTTTCAATATACTATAATATATAGGCCATTGAGGAGAACAGGAAGTGAGTCCACTGAATCTTAAATGTCCAAAACAAGACTATTAGCCTTTTCAGTACGTCTTACTTTAATAATTAATATCAGAAAATAACAAAGCTGAGGAAACATGGAAGGGACAGTGATCAACTCCACAAAGCTCTTGGGATTCGCCGTTACTGACGCAATTCGATAAACACAGCTGCAAGCAAGCAACGAAGAAGTCCAGAATGAACCCGAAACAGTTAAACGTGACAACGGGGCGTCCGTTTGAGCTGGAGCTTATGGAGCAAAAGTACCAGCTCCAGGCTGAGGACACGGCAAAGGAAGTAATGATGTTTGTGTTCCCATATAGACACAACTTGCATTTAAATGTGGTTCAGTTGCGTCTAATCAAAATGCTCCCCGTTGGCCGTCTCTTCCTGTGTTTATTTGTGCCGTAAATTCCCAGCTGAGCGGTCTGCAGTCATTTTGACCAACTAATCTTGTTTCACCTCTTGACTTCTAACACAAAACATTCCCTTGTTGGGAATAAATTGCTGTGCAGAAAGTCTTTCGAGTGGTGTGCTTGGCGGTAACACAAAAGAAAAACTTTTAAAAGAGTTCCCCACAGGAAAACGTAATTAGATGGTCTGCTCTGGTGAAGGAATTTACACATTTCGCTGAGCGCTCCGTACGTGATTTACTCTGGTTTTTTTTTGATTGAACGCACATGGATTTTGCGAAGAAAATGGGGTAAATAGCCAACATAATTGTTTTATGAGAAGTGCAAGAGTTGAAGTCTTTAGTCTCCATCCTGCTGGAGTTTAGAGCAGAATGCCAACGTGCAGACGGGACAGATGGAGACTTCAGACTGGGAGGTAGTTTTTTTTTTTTTTTTTGTATGAAACATGGAACAGTGGAAAAACAACATGCCCAACATTTCCATGTGCTTTTCCCATTTCCCCTTATTAGGAGCTCAAAGCGAGGTCTCTGCCCGGCACAGCTGCACGCTAAACGGCGTGACGGCGATAGACGGACTTCGACAAAAGCTGGCTATTTCTAGGATTCCCATAAATCTGTTGCAGCGGTATGAAAGCGGGACACTCTAATCCTGAACTTTTGTACTTCTTTTTTTTTTTTGCAAATCACTGTGAATTCCCTCCCACTGATTCCACACGGCTCCAGGTCATTTCACCCTTTGCCATTTTGTTCTTTTGCTGTACCTGACTTTTTATTTTTATTTTTTATTTTTTGCAGAATGCTTGGATAGGAATGGGTTGTATGGGTAAGAACTGGGTTAAGCTGATTTTGTTTTTCTTGTTAAGTGTTTTTAGAGGACATGGGTTTTGGAACTGCAGAATTTGCCCTGCAGTGACTTAAGTTTCACATTTACAAGTCAGCCCTAAGAGCAAATTTTCCCATCGACTCATCTCTCAGTCACACTCGCTTCAAGAATCAATTAGCAATCATTTTGTCGTAAATGGTGCAAATTCTCTCCACGTGGTCTAAAACACGTCCATAAACAGATCTCACAATAGGTGTGATTTCTGCAGCACAATGAGAAAGGCTTTATTGTGCGATAAATAACACCTCTACAATGAGCTGTGGGGGTTATTTTTGAAACGAAACAGAAAAAAGGCCCACGGGCCTTGCGAAAAAAATGCTCCTAAGCTTTATTAAGAAGCAGAAGCCTCGCAAGAAAAACAGGCAAAAGTCAAAACAGCAGCAAATCCCAAGTCTGCTATCAGGACAAAAGCAGTGCTGACCGACTTCCTCTCTGGGAGTCCAGCTAACGTCACAGGAAGAGAAGGACAAAAAAAAATCATCCAGCCAGAGCCTGCCACATTGGACAACACATACAGAAAACAGAGTGTGATGGCTGGGTGGGTCCAGACTGGTCACTCTGTTCTGAAAGCACACGGCCTGAGGGAAGGAGGAGGGACGGGGCTGAGAGTCCTGCTGTCATGTCTTTGTGTGTTAACTAACTATACAGGCAGCACACTGGGCCTCAGTGGGGGATTAGCTTAGCTGCCTCTTAGCAGAGACCCTGGGAGGAGGAAGGTGGTCCAACCTGATGATCGGATGGTTGGGCCTGGGGAAACAAGAGGTGGGGTGGGACTCAATTCTCCTCCATTCCAGAACTTTGCTACCGACTGTGCACTTTGTTTTCTGCCTAGATGTCGTGTCCCATTTTTTTCCATTTGTCCTTCCTTGCTTTCTTCACCTTTTCTTCCTTTTCTTCTTTCCTTCCTAGTGTAGGCTTCTTGTGTCCTTCACTCTTTCCTTGTGTCTTCCCTCCTTTATTGTATACTTCTTTCTTTCTCTTTCTTTTTTGAATACTTGTGTCAGTGGTGGGATCTCCCATCTTTCTACATCTTTTATAATTTCCTTCCTCTCAGCTTTTCATAATTTGCTTTGAATAATTCTGTAACTTTAGGTGATAATTATACCGGAGTATCTAAATCCTTTATTGGTCCGTTTGAACTTTCCTGTTTCTTTTAGCTGTGTTGGGCATTCCTCTGCCTTTTTTTATTTCTGTAATTTCTGTCCTTCTCCAATACATCCTTCCTTCACCAAAATATTTAAAGACATTTTTGGTGTTTATTTTATTGAGGTGAATGCAAAGTAAAGTTGAGTCTGGAAAGATCTGAAATTGTTACATGAAAAATATTGAGGAGTCCTCTCTAGAAATCATGTATAGAGGTAATAAAGACGGACCCTGGAAGAGCTGGAGACACAAAAATCCCATAGAGAAATAAAAATATTCAAGACAAAATTTTTCTTCGCAGAAATTAAAATCTGGAATGTTAACCGCAAATGTGTAAACCGTAAAGCCACATAAACATGTTTCATACAGTCGCTGATAAACAACAGGGTGGCGAGGTGACTAAGTGACCAAATATTCGCACTGATTGTTTTAGCGCGTGTCACAATCCGGCTGTGCCGTTTGTGCGTGTGTGTCAGACCCCAACGGTGACTTCATCTGTATTTTCTGTCAAGGATATCCCTCTCCTTTCCAGGCACAATGAGCCTGCTTCCTGTTTAAAGGAAAGCTCGCTCCGGTCCATCACTCACCCGCTCCCGACCGCCGCAGTTTCCCCGGCACCTTGAGCTGCAGAGACACTCGGTGATCTGTGGAGAGGAAACGCTCAGTGTTTACAGAGAGAGTCTGGAAACTCTTTGACTATGGAAAACATACTATAAAAAAAGCAAAACACATGAATAAGCACAACAGGCTTGTGTCTTTCCTGAATATTGTAAATGTTCCACTGAAAGTTAGTAGTGAGGGGGCGAGTGACAGAACATGAAGAGCTTTCACTTTCAGCTGTGATGAGACGGAAAACTAACAATCATGCAATGTCATAAAAGTATTTGTACTTAATCAAAAGCAATACTGTGCACTTTTTTGTAAATAAGAATGCATTTTCGTAACATACCTTCAAATAAAAATGAAGTTACTTATAAATTTGGGTCAATTAAAATCAGAGGGAAGAGGTGAATATGTTTGCAAGTATTAAGATCACAGAAAGCTTTTCACATAATCATGACATCTACGTATTCTAGATGTCATGATTAGGAAGTGGAACTATATTGGATTTTCAAAATTTTCACACATAAATGGTGGGACATTACTAATATGGGGATCATGTCTCGAAGGGTGACGTACTTAACTTAATCATCTGCTCCATTTCATTTCAGGCGTTCTTCTTATTAAGTTTCTTGGTCTTCACAATCCTGCTGAAACATTTTGGATTCTTGGTTTCATGGAAATTTATAATTTGTACATAATGTGGTGAGTGCACATTAGGGCATAGAATATGCTTTGAATTATGCCTCGGGGGCAGGGGGATCTTCATAAAACAAACTCTATAAATACTATGTTTCCCCCCCAAAAAAACGAAGTTTTGATGTGTGAGCGAAGCATAATTACAGATGAAGTCAATCTGAGGAGTTATTTTTTGAAATGTGGGCTTTCTGAGCAGCTAAACAGACCCAGCTGCACCACTCTCACAAATATGTTTCACCCCCCCACTGCCAAATGATCTGCAAATAAAACAAGCTGTAAGAAGTCAAGCAATAAAAGTGCCACAACAATTTTCAGATTTTGGTAGATATACAGTGTTTCAGAATAGCATGCTGTGTTTTCAATAATTAATACTCTGATTACTGAGATCAACTTTCTCATTTTGGTTTGTCCTCTAATGTTAAAAGGAAACAAACATTAAACTTTCACGAGTTTTTACATATATTTCAATCATTAATGTTACAACAACTGTCTTCAGCGTGGTTAGCTTGTCAGGGCTAACAAGCTAACCTCACTAGCAAATTTCACTTTAGCCTTAGACGCTACACTGCAGTTAAAGCTGGACACAAACTTAAATTCTCCTTCGAACACAATACCGTTTTCAACCACTAATCTTATCTAAAAGCAAAAGCTAACATGTACATAAATTATTATATTTCTAGCATAATTTGCGTAAACAATCTCTGATGGTAGCTAGCTACTATGTAGGATAAAAGCTAACGGCTAACTGAAGCGACACTTTCATTCAAAGATACAATGAAGTATAATTATAGTATAACTAGGTATACTATATTGCAATGTTGTGACACTACTCATGTACAAAAAAAGCAATATGTGTAGCATTAAGCTTTTTATCATTATTTTACAAGTGAAAATCTGTCATTTAAAAATGTCTTGTATTTTTACAAGACATATAAATATAGTATAATTCTAATAGTATTTCTAATCTAGTTTATGTTAACAATCCCTGCTGGGCGCTAGCCACTATGTGGGATAAAAGCTAACGGCTAACTGAAGCGACTTTCATTCAAAAGCACAATTGAGTTAATTATTTGAAATATTCACTTACAATAACCACATATAGCCGTGTTATGATGCATGGGTTTCCATTGCACGACTTTTACAACATACAAACCTTTTATTAATTAAGCGCGCTGAGGGAAAAGAGAGCTAACGCTAATAACGCGATAACATTAACAAACGGTATAAACGCGAGTTAGCTTCAGAAACATTACGTCAGCCATTTTCCTTTTCAGTGAGACTTTATTTTTGTTAATGTTGCGAAGTTTTCCTGTGTAGCAAAACTTTGCTGCAGACGTACAAAACATACACACACAAGAAATGCAAAACATTTAAAGAGAGTTTGGCTGTTATTTTAATCAAACTGGTTCTCTGGATTTTTTCATTGTAATGGTGAAAAGTTCCTTTTAGCAACGACGTTTAAAGCCGATAAAACGCGCTGCTCCGACTTTCACTCCCGTCCATCGTCGGGCTTCGGCTTGTCCTCGGGAGGAAGGGGAGGAAGGAGAGATGGAAAAAGCGCGGGGGGGTCAAGAAGAAGGAGGGAGGACAAACCGGTTGAAAGGCGCAGACGCTGAGCCTCCGCATGTTCAGTCCTGCCCTCCTCCGCTCCCACATCGCGCTGACTCGCGTGGCGCGCGCTGATCCGCAGACTGGAGCAGCGCGGCGTCCCCCGCTTCGTTGCAGGCTTCTTGTCAGAGGATATTTGGCGTCAGACTTTTCCTCGCGGTGAGTCTATGAGTCGACTTTTGAAGCGTTTTTAAACTTTTTTTTTTATTTATTTTTTGTCGCGCTTAGGATGATGTACAGAAACCGTCGCCGTTTAAAAGTCTCTGCATGACAGGAAGAAATTTCTTGTTTGAAGTTGTATTGTGTCATCAATTTGAGCTGAAAATGTTTTCATGATACTGAAAATATTTTTCAATTGTAAAAAAAAAATATAACTTTTCGCTTTTGCTTCCTTTTGTAATATGTTTAAAATAATTCTAACAAGAGACTCGGACATTTTTTCCCCACTTTATTAATAATGTCAGTAATCAGAGCCGGTCCGAGGTTAGATTGAATTAGAAATTAAATCACACTATTTACATGATAATTTATTTATTTTTTATTCTAGAGACAATGTCATTTTTTTTTCTTACCTTTGAGTTCAGAGTTTCAACGCAGATTTCTCTGCAAAGAAAATATCATTTACCTGTTTAGTATGCAGTTGTCTTGTTCAAGAAATTTGATTCTAACAGAGTTGATTTCTGGAGCAAACTGACATTTTGACTTTCTAAAATAGGCAAAGTTTCATAGTTAAAGATTAATCTGTAAGTGTAAAACATCTGCAGGAATGCCAAATGTTCCTTTATGTCAAACCCAAAAAAAGACATAATGTTTAAGCTTTTTTAAGAAATGACAATTTTGGGATAGTTTTTTTTTATACTTTATTTCAAAAGTTACATTTTTAGGTTCATTATTCTCCAAGATATATCCAGTGCTCTCGAGTGCCCCCTGCTGGCATGTTTATCCATTTGCACCAGCTCCTGCAGTGGTGTGTAAAATTTTAGAAGTCATATTTGTGGTTATTGTTGCCATCGTCAATATCATCTAAATGATCTTTTTCTATTTTTGTCATGCAGGCTTCCTGTTATCGCCTCCCTGCGTCCCCGATATCGACCAAAAAGATTCTGGAAGGAAACTTTTGAAACCACAAGAAAGCTCGTCATCAAAGCAACCCTTTTATTTCCACCGGCGTGCGTACCAAGAGACGGAAGAATGCCTGACCGCAGGACTCTTTGACACTTTGTGGATCTAACTTCATAACCCGGAAAAAGGCAGAAAAAAAAAAAACGAGTCTTCCACTCCTGGGGATCCCCAATGTTGAGCGCCTTTTCTACCCAAGCTGCCCCACTTTCCACTGCAGGAATGTTTAGCGTGTACCAAAACAACCAAGTCCTCATCGAGCACTACAAATACACAGGCAAGTTCAATGGGACCAACAGGAACAAGTACACGGACGGACTCAAACCGGAATCCATTGCGTTCCTGCTGGTCTGCCTGCTTATTGTTGCGGAGAACGCTGTGGTGCTCATTGCCATCTGGAAGAACAAGAAGTTCCACATCCCCATGTACTATTTGCTGGGCAACTTGACTCTCTCAGACTTGCTTGCAGGTTTGACCTACATGATAAACATCATGACGTCCGGTTCCCACACCTTGAACATGACTCCCTTGCTGTACTTCCTGAGGGAGGGCTGTGTGTTTGTCATGCTAGCCGCTTCCATCATCAGCCTGCTGGCCATCGCCATAGAGCGCCATGTCACCATGGTGAGGATGAAGCCCTACCAGGGTCACAAGCAGGGTCGGATGTTCGCTCTGATTGGAGCCAGCTGGGTGCTGTCGGTGTTCCTCGGTGTCCTTCCGGTCTTGGGCTGGAACTGCATCAACCAGCTGGAGACGTGCTCCACCGTCCTGCCGCTGTACGCCAAGAGCTACATCCTCTTCTGCATCACCGTCTTCAGTGCCATCCTCATGTCCATCGTGGTGCTGTACGTGCGGATCTTCCGCATAGTGAAGTCCAACACGCAGCGCCTCGCCACGGTTCCCCAGCGCAAGGGTCTCTACCGCAAGTCGCAGAAGTACATAGCCCTCCTGAAAACCGTCACCATAGTCCTGGGGGTGTTCATAGCGTGTTGGTCACCCCTGTTCATCCTGTTCCTGCTGGACTTCAGCTGTGAGGTCAAAAGCTGCAAGGTGCTCTTCAAGGCGGATTACTTCCTGGGCATCGCTGTGTTCAACTCCCTCCTCAACCCCATCATCTACACGCTGACCAGCAAGGACATGCGGAAGGCCATCCTGAAACTGCTCTGCCGCCGTTGCCTCCTGAACGCAGACGGGAAGATGAAGAAGTTCGGCCTGGCCTTCCTGGACTTCAGCACCACTAAGACGGACGCGGCGTCTCACAGACTGGAGGGTCTGGAGACGACGGTGTCTTCTGGAAACCTTCCCTCAACTATTAAAGCTATTTATCCAAGGATATCCAAGATACAACACTCTGACTCAGAACTGAGAGCAGGCACGTGAACTGTGCTAAAGACTCGTATTTAAGCAAACATTGGAAGGAGAAAAACTGTGTTGCACTTTGAAATGGTTCTACCTTTAAATGATCCATGTTTATAAAGCTGGGAGAAAGAACCATTTTGTTGGATTTGTATTTATGCCACTTCTCCTTAGATACCCGTGCCTTCGTCGTAGCTCAAAGCTTGTTTCTTAGAACCTAGCATTACCATTGTCGAGACTTTTAAAACCAGGCCAGTGGTGATCAGAGAGTTCGCCCTCCGAGATTACCCAGTCTGATAAGTTCTTGCAAAAAACAAAACCAAAAAAAACAAACAAGAAAGCCAAGCCTGAGTGTTGACGTTTCACAGCATCTGTAATGTGCATCTGATGAGGGGGGGAAAACCCAAGCTCAAGATTTAGAGTTAAGGTTATCTCCCACTGCCTTTGTAGCGTATAATGACACGTTGTCGTGATCACGGAGCATCCACACCCAAAAAGTGGCGGCTGCCAAAACCGTTTAATGTCTGCCATGTGAGTTTTGGTCAGCGCCGACGCCGGGGACATCAGAGGGCCCAGAGACGCTCCAAAGACGTCAGACTGAGGGCCGGGCTGGGTGGCTTTTCAGCTTTGGAGGTCCCACCAACACATGTAGCAACACACGACCAGAGCCTTAAAGCAATAAAAGCTGACAGCCGAGGCTTGGCGACGCCTTGCTGGGTTTTGCAGACTGGAACGTGGCAGCAGAACGTTTCGGCTTTGCAGATGAGTCGTTTCTTTTCGGAGGAGGCTTGTCTTTATTCTGTGAAATGACGCGTAAGGACGATCATTTTCTTTCTTTTAGTGAAACTGTTCCTCAGATGTTCGTACCCCGGCCTGTTGGGACTAATTGTGAACAAATGCAAAGATGTAATTCTGATTAACTGTAGTTAGTATCTTTTGTAAATGTGTGTAACCTCTGTGAGTTGTGTGTTCTTTTATAAACTCCCTACTTAAATTATGCCAGTTTTATATGTGCACTGAATAAACATGTGAATGATTTTTACATGCAGGTCTCCGTTGATTTTTTTTGTTTTTGGTTTCCCATCTTACACTCGATTTTCTCTTCAAGATAAGCATACTCTGCAATAACTTTGAAAATTTTCTAAAGGAATTACGATACGTCGCAATTCTATTTATTATGAAGAATAAGTTTAACAATATCAAACATAATGCAAAAATTGTAATTCAGTGTAATTCCTATTTTGTTACATTTCTGTTTATTCTAACAGAACACTATTATTTAATATTACGTTGAGTGTTGCTGAAAATTATGGCCAACCCTGAAAATCCTCTACTGGAGACTGCTACGCAACAACAGTGTCTTTGGGCAGAAGCTTTTTCCCTGACCGCTGCAATACTGACTGCTACAGGAGATCCTTTCTGCCCACAGCCGTCAGACTCCACAAATGTTTCAAGAAAATTGTGTAATATGGGGACAAAATTTAATTTTTGATTAAAAGTATTTTTGAATTTTAAATGTAATTATTATTTATCTCGTTGCTGGAAGTAGTAGTAAGATTTATTTGATCAATTTTTCTGAAATGTTTTAAGTGTTATGAAGTAATCAGCTTGTACATACAATTTCCAAAACAAACACTTCAAAAATACATGGACAAATAGTCAATTTAGACTAGAGAATAAGAAAAATAACTATTAAAACTATTGAGGACATACCCAACTGGTCAGTGGCTTTTCTCCCAGTGACCACTGTCGGCAATATGAGCTTTTTAAAGCACACACTTAAGATAAAAATCGGAAATAAACAGCGGCTTTGTTGCAATATTTCAGGTTTATGGGTTCATTAAAATCGAAACCTACTCCGGCGTGTGCAGGATGATCAAAGAAAAGCTGAAGCCATTTCAAGCCATATCAAGCGGGGGGCCAAGCTGAAGTGACAAACCACGTGTCAAAGCCACTGACAGGCAGAGCTACCGGTGAAGGAGCAGAATTGGGCCCAGTGCTCAGTTTACGGTAAGAAAACCACACACTGGTAGGTGTGACGGTGTGCCTACCCGACTAGGGCTCCACATCCTGCTCTCTCTGAAACTATCGTCATGGTCTCGAATACAGGAAAAGAAGAGAGACACACAGAGAGAGAGAGAGATTCAAAAAAAGAAGCCACAACTCGTTTTCGTGCAAGGCCTGCTCAGTTCTCGTCGAGCGGGCCTGAGTGCGAACAAGCCGCAGTACCATGTGTGGGAGGCAACAGGGAGGAGAGTCTGAGGGTGAGCGGCCTGCTCCAACTTACAGACCTGCAACTGCTGAATCATTGCTATCATGTATTAATATCTACACAGTTTGTCTACAATAGGAAACATCTGGTTTCCTTTGGTTACTTTCAGGGTTCATGACAGAGATTTCAGACAATCCAGGTAAATGCACATTTAAGCCCACAGCAGCAAATGGCGGACAGAGAGAACAAGACGTAAAATAAAAATAAATAAATAAATTTAAAAAAGGAATAGATTTGTGTCAAAAATTGGAGCGCACCCCAAGGTCAGGCGACTTAAAAGACACGCTTTCAGCGGCAAGAAGCTTGACAGTCATTTTCTGACTGTCAGAAAATGACTGTGACTGTGAAAGTGATAAAGTCATGATATTTTTTACTGACTTTATCACTCATATCATTGCGGAGGGATCTTCTTCACCGCGCCGTTTCAGGTTCGACATTCGTTTCTCCGACTGTCTCCACGGATCTACAGCACTTTAATCTGACTGCGGTCTGGACTTTGAGCACTTTCTCCACCATTCTGCTGTTGGTTTAGGTGCTGCTGCCCAGTCGCCGCCGCGCTTCTACGTCTCACCAGACGTTTGTGATAGGGCAGACTTCCTTGCTGCTAAGTGAGCCCACATCACTCCGCCACCACCGTGCTGACACAATGTTTTTGTCCTTCTGCAGCCTCTGTGCTGTAAATTATTGCCAAGTGTTTCTCTGGTGTGTCAGACTGCAGTATGTTTACTTTTATAAAGAACATGTTTTTGTTGTACATATCTGTTAAAAATGTCGCTATATGGCGACAATATAATGAGACAGATAATCTGCGGGGGAAAAAACAAGTTCCTCTCTGCCTTCTCCCAATGCTAACCAGAAACAACCAATCAGACCCAGGAGGGTCTTAGCGCTGTCAATCATCCTCGTGAACGTGTTAAATCTATGCTACAGCTAGTTCACCACAACAGAGACTGCCACCAAGGCCAAGGCTTGTTAGCATAGCCACTGATGACGGTGGATAAACGATGTTCCTGTAATGCTAAATTGCTTGTCCGCCATTAGCATATTTAGCACCACCTACACGAGGATGATTGACAGTACGAAGACCCTCCTCCTGATAGGTTGTTTCTCACCAGGAGCAATGCATTTTCTGCAGATGGCAACGGGAAGAAGTGGAGATCTTTTTTTTTCACAGCTCATCTGTCTAATATTACACTGTTACAACACGGTGACCGTTTTTTAACATATACGTCAAAAACATTTTTGTATAGAAGTCACAGACTCAGCTGTCGCTGTGCTTGCTGAGGTGTATTTGAACCCTTCCCAGATTCATTGACGGAAACTTTTGCTTTTCCAACGCCACTTTCTACTTTGGTATTGTGTTGCTAACCCACACCTGTATCCTCCATAACAGCTTCTACTAAACTGTTGACTTGCTGATGATCAGATAATGGACTGTACTTGATTATTATCACCAGATTTGCTATTTGCATTCATATCTAACAACAGAAAGAAGATTGGACAAATCTTTCCGTTTTTTTGACGTATTTCCTCCGTCTTAGTTTTTGGACATGTCAGTTACATTTGATCTGTTGAAGACTTTGCTTTCTCTCAACAGAAAAACTCTAGAAATGATGACGGTTGTACCTACGTAATGACAAGAATGTATTAAATGATGTTATTTTCTTTTTAAATACACAGAACATATGAAAGAGGCAAGATAACAAAACATGTTAATAAATTAGATTTAAGACAAAGTAGAGAGATTGTTTTATAGCTGCTCAAAATGAATACAAATGTTTTTTGATCAGGTACAAGGAAGCGTTTGTAAGCAGATTTCAGCAAGAAAATTTTTAAAAAATATATATATATATCAGAAATATTGTTTGATTTTAATTGCTGTCAAGTGATCAGACCACTGCTCAAGTTTCTTAACATTTTGTTAAAAAACTTAAAAAAATAAGTAATAAGTAATTGAATAATGTGTCCTTTTAATTTGCTCTGCTGGCTTGGTTTGAACACACTTCAACAGTAAGCAGCTCTATGGCGACATCTAGTGACCAACTCTGACACAGCAGGCACCGCTTTAGTCCCTGACGCTGGAACAAATCAGAAAGTACAAAGTCAAAGTTGTAAGTTATTTATTTAACACAACAAAAAAAAAAAACAACAAGACGACCAACAGACAGATATCATAAAAAAATAATACTAAAATACACAACGTGTGTTCTTCGTCTACCACTCAGTGCTGACAAAGTCCCACAGCTGATCGCTTATGTCGCTTCGAGAGCGGACAGACGTGTCAACGTTGATGGGCGTGGCCAGATCGGGACCGTAGTGCACTGCGAGAGAAAAAGACTAAATTATACTGACACAACTCATTTTAAAGTCTCGTTTGTTCTGTCAACATGTTTAGGTTGTTATGACACAAAGAGAGATTTCTGATTATTAATATTTTGAGTCATTAACTCCAGCAATTACAGTGAGGAGCTTGAGGAAGGAATGCTCAAATGTTTGAGTCAAGTTGAAGGCATTGCAATCAAAATCATAACATTTGAAGACATTAATAAATAAATCTCTGACAGATTCTACCACTATTGTGGTGTTTAGCAAATAAAAGCTTTCAACTAGAAACACTACTTATCTGACAGTGAAAATTACACTCTGTAAAAAGTGTTCATGTCATCTGTGTGGAAGTGGAGGGCCACGCAAAAATTATTCCCAGGACCCCAAATGTCCCATGGGCCACACTTTGGACACCGCTGACTCGATCACTTTGAGTTCACACTTTATGATTAGGGTTGCTTACGTTCTTCATTTTTGGTTTCTGACTAAAATATACGAAATAAAAATTAGCAAGCATATCTGACTGAAGTAGGAATGCGAGTCAGAAAAGATTGTTTCTCACCTCCTTTCAAAATGTTGGGCTGCGTGTCGTACTCCCACTTGATCTTGGTTATTAGGTAGTACACCTGAGCCACGTACCTGGAAATAAAAAACTTAGGGTAAAAATAAAAAACTAAACAAAACTCCCAGCAATTATAGCAATAAACAACAATATTGTAGCTGGAATGCCATAATAATGCAGATTCGCCTTCTGAAAGACTAATAAACTTTCAATTTGTACAGAACAATCCACATTTTAACTTGAAGACATTTTAAAAACCATAAAAAAATAAAATGAATTGCTAAGCCTCTCCGAACAAAATCACTCTTCAAATAGTTAATCATCACAAACAGCTCTTTTTAAAGTGTCATGCGATTCATTGGAGAATTGTGTATTGCAACATAAAAATGTTTAATTTTAAAGGATAGGCGATAAAACGGCAGTAAAATTTGAAGTTGACCGAAACACAGCCGACGGCGTCATAAAAACGCTCGTCGATTCACATTGGAGTGTGACACAGAAATGTGCAAGTCAAGAAAAAGGTGAAAACTAGTGATCCAGTTCAATTTATTCACGTCGATTCCCAGAAACTCACACTGCAGACGGGATGACCTCGGTGGTGTCTTCATCCACCTCATTCTGCAGAGTCTCCAGTTCCCTCTCGGTGTTCCTCACACTCTCCAGCTCCGTCTGCAGAAACCTGGAGAGAGACGGTCAGGGATGCGAACAGTCCAAACCAACGGCGCGGAGAACGGCGTCGGCGCGGAAAGCGTACTGGATTTCTGAGTCCATGATCTGGCTTTTGGCCGTGCACCGCTGCAGCTGCTCCTCCAAGTCCTCCAGCTCCTTCTGCCTGTGCTGCTTCTTCTCCTCCATGTCCAGCAGCCTCTGGCCCGCGCGTTCCTCGACCTGCGCCATGTCTGCTTGGGAAGGACAGCGGCAGACGCTCGAAATGACAACACTCACCGGCTGAAGCTAAATTACATCTAGAAGTAGAAAAAAACAACAACAAACGAAACATCTGATTTCTTGCCTTTAAAAATCTGCGTCACAGCCTTCTTTGTTTCTTGGTACTTGTCGTCGAGGGCCTGGCGTTCGACTTTCACTTCTTCCAGTTTCTCGAGCTGACTGCTGTTGATGAGCTCCATGAGCTTCTCCCCGTCCTCCTCTACGTCTTGAAACGTCTGGCTCAGAGACATTGTGGGCAGCTGGAAAACAGAAGCAAGGAGAAGAACAGAATTTGCTGCTCATTATTCCATTTGCAGTGAATTGCAAATGAAATAATAAATATGTTGCATTTATATTTATCAAGAAGTCTAAAAAGACCAAAGTGGGAAAGAAGTGCTATATTTTACATAAGTTTGTTTATTTTTACTCAAATTTATGACACAATAATAAATTAATATCTACACGGCAGCGTTAGGATGATTCTGTTTTAAATAGCCACAAATGGCTCATATTAGACACATCTAGGTTTTCAAACGGTGGGGTACTAAACACACATCCTTGTGGATCGCCTTAACTTGATATTTCTGGGGAAGCGGCGTTAGAACTGTTTATAACATGTCGGCTTCCTGTCCTGAGAAACTGTTAATAAAACAAAGTAAACTCCAGAAATCTGTGACGTAAATACATAAAAACAAGCAACGAAAAATCTTTGTGTCTTTATTTTGGGTGAATCTGGAATGTTTTAAAGCGGATGAAAACAAACAGCAGCAGCTACGAGCAAAAGTTAAGTATTAAGTCTGAGCCTGAATACAGACTTGAGTCTCAGAACCAACAGAAACATGACATTGAAAACGCTGGTCACTGAAAGATAACGTAGTCGGCGAAGAAACTCCCCGACACTACAGCAGCTGAATTGTCAAATCGCGACCGTTTCGTTTGGTTTTCTGACTTTTGAGCGAGAAAACTCAAAAGTTCCTCCAGTCGCCTCTCGGTGTTCCTCACACTCTCCAGCTCCGTCTGCAGAAACCTGGAGAGAGACGGTCAGGGATGCGAACGGGCGGACAACAAACAGCTGTCCTGTTTTACGTCGCTTCTACACGCTGCGCTGAACGTAACTTTAGCGACGCAAAGACGGACATGTCGAATATAAACCGTTTAAACTCTGCCGTAAATCAAGCGGGTTGTAATTTGGTCACAATTAAACAGAAAACGACCGACCTTTCTGTTTCCCACTGTTCGAATTCAGACTTCAGCGCGCGCCTGTTATTTTCTTCTTCTTCGGGGGTTTGGGAGACGTGACGCGGTCTACCGCCCCCTGCTGCCCAGTGGTGACTCCAACACTTGGTCCTGGCTGTGGTTACATATTTAGGACAATGATTTTGATATGTTCATTTCTGAATAACTTATAAGTTATAAATCTACAGTAATAATAATTTGAGAAACTGTGATTTATGAGAAAAATAAGAACGTTTACTAGATTTTCTGTCAAAGTTTAAAGATTTGTTTAATCAACTTTCTTAGAAGAGTTGAAATCTCAATTGGTTGACATCTTGAACTTCAACACTAACTGTGTTGAAGTTCACAGAAATGTACATTTTCTCTATGCTGTACGTCAGGTTTCCATATTCTGCATATCCTTTTTTGCTCATCAATACAACAAAGCTCCCAAGATATTTAAATTCTATATTTGAAGAATTGAAGCCACCAAGTAAAAAAAAATAATCTAGAAAAAAAAACACTAATTCATATACAATGTTTTGGACATGACAGAGCTTTTCTAATTAAATATGCAGGGGGAAATTAAATAATAAATTTAGTATAAGTCATAAGATACCAGGCGCTTCAGAAGCTACTGAGAGTCAAATTTAATCAAAGGTTTTTGGTCTTTTATATTTTCTGACTTGAGGTCAGGTGAAAGAACAATTACACATTTTAATTTAACAAATTTCAAACCATGTTTAACATTACACAGTTTAACATCCAAAATGTTAATAGAAAAATTTGAAAAACTCTGTTCCTTTAGGATCATTTAATGTTTCTGATGACATCTTTCGTTTCTACTCCCGAGTATAAAACCAGATTGTACGGTGAAGTCCAGTGGGAACTTTCTATCCCTCTTGGTTCTTCTTCAGCTTCTTCTCCTGCTCTTTCCGTTTGTGTCGGCCCAGCTGTCTGAAGTACAGTCTCCGTGGGTTCAGCCCGTACGCCTTCAGCCTGTGTCTGCTGAACTCTCGGCCGCCTATTTTCACCCCCTTGAGTCCTGACTTGATTCGTCCTCCTGACCGCCGGGGCTTCTTGGTCCACGCTGGCCTTTCAGTCCTGTTCTCCCCTCCATTTTGTTCATCTGCCACCTCCTGGGCCGTATCTTGCGTCTGTTCCTCTAGTTTCCTCTTCTGCTTCTTCTTGGGTACCAGAATCTCGTCCCCTTCCTCTGGGCCGTCCACAGCCTCGCTCAAGGCCTTAACTGCCTCGTCTGCTTCTTCGCTCCGCTTCTCTGCGTTCCTCAGACGATCTCGCCGTTTCTTCCCCAGCTTGCTCTTCGCCTCCAGAGCTTCTTTATCCTCCCTGCAGGTCAGGATCAGATAGAAACCAATCACCTTCTGGCATGTGCACAAGCTGTCAATTGATTGAGCTTATCAATAGGCTAACAATTGGTTGAAAAGTGGCCATTTTCTTAAAAACTTGTATCAACTTGTATCAAGAGTGTAAGTTTGTCGAGTGTTAACATTTCCAAAACAGAACCGCAAAAGGTGCATTCTGACTAATTTGAATCCAATAAATCGTCAATCCACTATTAACCGTAAGTTGGTTCGAACCACAGTGTTTCTACTCACTCAGAATACACAGAGCTCAGGACTTCTTTCTTCTTTCTCACGTTCTGCCCCTTCATTTTGTAGTTCTTCAGGTCACTCATTTCCTCTCTTTCAGACCTTAAAAGGCAAAGACGGCTGTTACTGAAACTCAGCGACCTCGGAGGAGTGGAACATCTCGGAGTCGGTACCTGAACATGCACGTCCTCCTCAGCGAGCACCAGCGGTTCAGCTCTTGGTCGTTGGCAGTCAAGATCTGAAAGAAAAATAGTTGCACGAATTTAGACACAACCAGAGCGGGGAGAGGAGGTCGCGTATGTGGCAGTTTCATCTGCTCAGAGAGAAGATTGGCGTGAGATCATTCCCTGGTCAGAGCGATTCCCCACCGGGAGGCAATACCAGATCAGTCTGCACAGATCTCATCACTGCAGAGCTGGGAACCGGAACAAGCTAGTGTTCTGTCCACTCGTTCATTTTCTAATTGAGGTGTGGAGTTCACAGGCTCCCAAGAGGAAGACCCTCACCTCGTCTGTGCTCAGGCCGAAGTCGTTGGGCACCACCTGCCTGTAGCGGAAGCGGCAGGGAAGGTCGTCGATGATGTCCTCGTAGTCCAGCTTGTAGTACTCGTCCAGGTACTGCTCGAAGCTTTTCTCCTCTGAAACGAGAGGGACGGCGTCAGGCGAGGCCGTCGCCCGGGCAACGGCCGGGTCCGGGACGCTTCCCGACACTTACGGGGGTCGAACACCGGCTTGGTTCTGGTGATGACCTCGGCAAAGTGAGACTTCTTCTTCTTCTTGCCCATCTGTGGCAGATCGTCCTTCTTCAGCTTCTTCTTTTCCTTTTTCTTCTTCTTCTTGGAGGCGGTGTGCTGGCTTGGGTCGTAGTCCGCATCCATCTGCATGGACAGAATGACTGCTTCGCTAAACAAAGCTAAAAAAATAAATACAAGTCAGACAGTTTTGGGCAAAACAAAGTCGGCTCACGATGAAGTCTTCGTCGTCGCAGTGCGGTCCAGAGGCACTGTACTCCTCTTCGTCATGTCCCTCTTCACGTTCCTCTCCTGTCCAGGTGTCCCAATTCCAGTGTTCTGAAAACGCAGAAGAAACTTCAAATGAAGCGGACAAATCACAGGACCTGAACAGAACAAATGAATAACAAAAATAAAGGCCAGCAGCTCACCATCCATCTCGTTTCCTTCGTCGTCAAACTGAGGCTTCTCCTCTTCCTCTTGACCGTAGTACTCGTCTCCAAAGACTTTCTGCAAACAAAAAAGCTTATTTTGACCTGAAAAATTAGATGAAAATGGCATTTAAGAGAGTGGAAGTCTTGATTGTCAAGTTAAGCATTTTAACTGAATGCCAGCAGAGCACCGACTGCAGTTTTTCTGGCCGATCTGAGTCCAATTTTTGCCGATATAAGTTGGCAACTGATAAACATGCATATTTAAAACAACCCTTTTTTTATTAAAATATTCCAAAACAGTCAAAATGATACAAATATAATGTCGAAATAATAAATTTGCAATATTGGGAGAATATAGTAGTAATATTATGAGAACTCCCACACATACAATGAAATGATCCAAAAAATGTTCTTATTGAAAATAAATTCTCCTAATTTTGAGACATGCTTCGTTTGAAATTATGACATTCTCGCAATTAAACTAAACTTCTTGTTTAACTGTCTGTCAGTAGTCCATCTTACACATTGCAGAAGGGATGATAGCAATAAAAGCAACTTTTTAAAAATATGTCATTTGTAATTTCTTTTAGAAAAATAAATCTTCAGGCAGATTTGATCTGAAGTCCTAATCCTGACATTCGAATGTTTGATAGCTGAAAAAAGGAAGCAATGCAGCGTTGCTCGTGTTGCATCTACGAATATGAATGCATGTTATCAGAAAATGTTAGCCAGAAAATGTTAAGGAACGAATGTTGAAAACTGACTTGTTTTGGATGCTGCTGCTAATGTAAGATAAGTGGGTGTAAATAAAATAAGGTTATTTCTACCCACTCCTCTGAAAATATCCTTTTCTGTTTTTCCCTTTCCTGACATGTAACTTTGTTTATTCTTTCATTCACTAAAGTCAAGCCGGGTTCCTGTCCTGACCTGCATGAGCTGGTCGTGCTGCCTGGGGTCGAAGTCTCCGTCCAGGTCGGCTTGACTGAAGGCCAGCTGCTCGTTCCCGGTCAGCTCCTGCAGCTGCTGCAGCTTGTCCATGATCTCCTTCCTCTTCAGGTTCTTCAGCTGCTTCAGCTGCTCCCGCTTCTGCTCCTTCTCCTAGAATCACGCGGCCGCTTCGTGAGCCTGTGTTAGCGTTAGCGTTTTTTTTTTGTTCTTGTTTTTCTTTATCTGCCGTACTTACCTTCAGTTTCCTCTGCTTCACCTCCTCCCTCTTCTGCTTCCTGCGGTCGTCCTTAGTGCGGACGGACGTGGCGATGTTCCGGGGGTAGGTCTTGATCTGCAGGGCGCCGGGCTCTTCGAAGCGGAAGTTGTAGCTCCGCTCGAAGTCCTCCTGGCGCTCCAGGAAGCTCTCGCCCTCCTCCTCAGAGTCGTCCACGTCCTCCTGGACCAGCTCGTCGTACGTCGGGATCCTGGACAGATTCGGAGGGATTTCAAAGCGACTGCAGCGAACATCTAAAGACGGATTCCAAGCTTTTTGGCTGCGCACCGTTCGTCCTCGTCGTCCTCGTCCAGGTAGCCCTTGTTGAGCACGTAATCCCGGAGGAATCGCTCCCTGTCGTCCAGCTGCGGGTCGTTCCAGTAGTCTCGCAGGTATTTCTGTCACAATGGGGGGAACAAAAACAAATAAAATCAAAAATCTTATTTCCAATAGAGATGCAATAATCCGACCTGATTACCTGCAGGCGTCTCAGTATTGAAAAAGAATCTAGATCAGGTATCAGTGACAATGTGCCTGATCCATAAGGACAGATCTATTTAGTCTAATTCCATGAACGACATCATGCTTTATTATTCATCTCACATTACGGTATATTTAAAAATGACAAATTGCACTTTAGGAATAATTTTAAAGAAGGTTTGTTGCAGTTTTGTTTTTTTGTTTTTTACATTTTTGACCAAGATACTGAACCTATTGCTTTTGTCAGTTTCAGTTCTGTGTTGGAAAAAAGAAACATTTTTAGTCATTTCAGACGATTTTTCTGTAAAACGTCAGCTATCGCAATAAAAAGAGACAAAAGGTGCATCCAGGGATGCCGCAAAATAAGCAATAAACCTGGTGGCCACCTGATGCATCATAAACTCAGTATTTTCCATTTGCATGATTTATTGTTTCTCTTTTTCCTTCTTTCTACCAAAAACTGCATGCTAAAAGTCTTCAGTCTGGTGTTTCGGTCCTGAAGGAAAATGTTGCTTACAGAGTCTTCATAACTCACGTTATTCGTCGTTTATATTGTTTAGCTTATTTATTTTTCTTTATTATTTTTAAAACGTCTTCCACTTCCAGAGTTGAACGTTCATTGGATTTTTAGGTTTGTTGGTCTTTGAGAACGTGTTCTTGTTTTATTATGCCACTATCAATACATTACTTCAAAATGGTCGGAAAACAACAAAATTATTGTTTATCGCGATAACGTCCAGAATTCCCTGTATTGTGATGCAACTCTGGGAACTCACCATGTCCTTCACCTCCTCCGGACCGTCCAGCTCAGCCTGACCTTTGAGCCAGTCCATGTAATCCGCCTCCTCTTTATCCTGAAAACACACAGGCGGGAAGTGTCGGCTTCGTCGAGTCGCTGTTTAAGACGACGAGCTGTGGCCGTTTTCTGACCTCCTCCTCCTGCGTTTTGATCCTTCTGGTGAGCAGCTTGGAGGGTTCGCCTTCCCCCTCCTCGTCTTCCTCCTCGTCCTCGTCGCTGTCCTCGACAAACTTCCGGAAGCTGCAGGGACGTTTGGGTTTCTGTCACCGGGCGTTCCGGGCGCAATCGCTTCACCAACGTCTGACCTCACCTCTCTTTGAGCTCCTTCTGCTCCTGGATGTAGCTCGGCGAGGCTGCCCTCTGTTACAGGAAGACAACGCCGACTCAGCAAACAGTCATTTTCACAATAAAAATAAATAAATAAATAGAATTAAATCACAATTATTCATCAGAAAAAGTTTGCACACCTCTCTTCTTCTGGCTGCTTCCTCCTCGTCACTATCGTCATCGTCTTCATATTTGCTGCGAGAAGACATTTTTTAAAAATTGTTGCTGCCCGACATACGCATTCCCTCTTTTAATCCATGTTTCACCCCCATAATTCTGTCACTAATCTGGTAAAGAGACGCAAAACCGACCAATTGTAAGTTTTTTTGGAAAGTCCACCAAATCAAAGAACTAATGTTGCAACTATGTCGACTGTTCTGCAGATTTTTCATATAGCCCGTTTTTACCCAACATTAGAAATACATTAAAAAGATGCAAATAATTACACTTCTATTTTAAATAGCAAACCAAACCTTTGTTTGTTCAACTGTGTCATAAAGAAGCATTTACAAATGGGATTTGTTTGTTTTTTGGTGGGGCGATAATCGCAGCTCCACGCAGTCACATCGTGATCCCAATTTTAATCACAAAATATCGTAATGAAACTTTATCGCGCAATCCTTCTGTGGCACCACTGAGTTTGTTAAAAATGACTAAACAATTTGGGACTTTTTTGTTCGTTTTGATGCTTTTTCTTTTTTCTTTTTGTTTTCTGGAAACATCTGCACTCACCCTCCTTTTTCCAGGATGACTTTCCGCTCGTAGTCCTTCAGGTACATGGGCTTCACTTTGACTTGTGTGGACGTGGACGGACCGTCCTCAGTCCGGGACGCGTCTGAAAGCAAAACACGGTCAACCCAGCAGACTGTAAGAGACCACCGAGCCTGGGTGAAGCTTTCTACGCCTTTAAATCACCTTCAGAGTAGAACCTTGCATCTTTCTCGTAGATTTTCGGGTCTCTCTTCTTCAGCAGGGACAGGGTTCTGTAAAAGTCCCTGTCCAGAGCAGGGTCCAGGTCCTGGGAGGGACAGGCACAAGTCAGGCGCCCGGTGTCAGTGTTTTAGACGGAGATCACCAAAACAGCGCAGGAGAAACATTGAACGGGGGGCGCGTTAGCCGCCGATGCTAACCACTTCACTGTCGTCAGAGCTGGACGCGGAGGAGTCGCTGTCATCGGCTTGGTCTCCGAATCGGTCCTTCACTGCGCGGATGTACAGAAAACACACACACACGTCACGTCTTTCATCAACTCCTGCCCAGAGGACGCGACGGCTTCATCGCTAATGGTACTTTCTGACCCACGTTCGGTGATGGCTGATGGCTAACTAGCATCACAGTTAGCCATCAGCAGCACACTTACGCTTCTGCAACTCCTCCTTCTGTCGGTACTTCTCGTACTTCTGCGCGAACTGCGAGTTAATCTTCAGTTCCGAGCTGCCCGGCATGTTTTCGGTGACGGCGGGTTACAGGCATTAATCAAAACGAGCCACTGCAGCCGCGTCGACAAGCACGTTACGAGCAAAACCACGCCGTTTCCGGTGAGCTGCGGCCGATTGTCGCCAGCAGAGGGCGCAGTAACGTCAGCGTATGAGTACTTTTGGGGGGGAGGACGGGCGTCGGCCATATTGTGAGTGGCAAATTCACACGAGAAAGCCTCATTCAACCGACTTGTGTTTAAAGAAAACGATACTCTTATTTATTTCTAAAAAAGGATAGCACTGAAGAAAACAGCAAAATTAATAAACAAGCTGTCGTAACAAAAATTAAAATCTTAAATGTTACATATATGTTCCAATCCACAGAATTTTATTTTTTTTAATTTATTTATTTTATTAATTACTTAACTAAATTTGATATTAACGAGCTAAACAAAATTTAGCTTAGCTATTTTTTTCCCAAATATTCCTATTTCTATTATCATCATTATTATTATTATTATTATTATTATTAGTAGTAGTAGTAGTAGTAGTAGTAGTAGTAGTAGTAGTAGTAGAAGTATTACTATTATTATTGTTTCAAATTTCCACAAACAAAAAAGTCATTTTAAACGCTTGTACGATGTCGACAAAAACAGAAAAGAGGGTGGGCGTAGTGGATTCCCACTACCAATGCTGGTGGGTCATGAGGTCAGCAGAGTTTGACTGTGGGTGGTCTTTCTCTGACAAAACAGTGTGTGTGTGTGTGTGTGTGTGTGCGTGTGCGTTCAAAGGTCAGTGAATTTCCAGGAACAAGTCAACCCAGCTGAGGGCTGTTTTTTCATCAGGTGAGCAGGTGATGTGTGACGGCCCGTGTTGAAACAATGCCCAAAACGCTTTCAGTCTTGGAACTTATTTTTTTATATTTTTGCCACATTGAAACCAAAACCTTCACTGTTCCATGGGACCTCACTGGAGGTAGACAATTAAACGGAAATCATTTTGAAAGTAATGAGAACAGTTCGCTCAAATCACACAGCATTCTGATAAGAATACTCCGTAATCTCAGAACAATCTGCTGTCTTTTAACTCATTTTGTCAGTTCAACACTTCCACCTGTCCCTCAGCCTTGGACTGTACTGTGGACATTTTGTGCACTTTATCTGACAACATGTGGGCAGTCGCCCACATGGTTCATTGGTCCTTCACCAACAAACCAACCCCCCAGAACATACTTTATGTTTGCGTTTGAATCTTTTTCGATTGTTCAAAGTTAAAGTCACTTTTGGCTTTCCCAACAGCTGCTTTCGTTACTCTGAGTGCAGATGCTTAAATTTTAATAAACAAAACTGAATGTCAACAAAAAGGAATGCACTCTGCTGTTGCCTTAACTAAAATAACTTCCGGATTACCAAATTCTCAACTAGCACGCTTAGTAGCCAGGATTAAGGTGGGGATGTTTTTGTTCTCTCAAATTATGAATCGTGACAAAATAACCACAAACTCATTGTTTTGTTGTGTCTTTCCCTACTTGACAACCACACTGGAACAAAAAACATGGTCGACAATATGGTCTTGTTTTTGCCATGATCTGGGGCTCTTCTAGGAAAGCGTTTGTTTTCTGTGGAATAGCTACAGCAGCTCCAATAAAAAATAAAAAAAAACACCTCACATTTTAACCTCTGACAGCATACAGAAACCATTCGGGCCAGATAACCGCACAGAGATGAATGGATTTGCTCCATGCATAATGAGGCAAATAGGAAAAGTATTTTCCCAGAGTCTCTTACAGCGAGGCTTCCCGCATAAAATTATTCACAAATGAATCTCAAAAGTGCGGCCTGCGTTTGTTTGAACCAAAGTTGGTCAGAATGGATGGAAAGACGAATGAGTTGCAACGCAGAATAGACGTAACAAAAACTTGTTAGAGGTTTTAGATGACTTGAAACTGAGGCAGAGGATCAAATTTAAGCTGGATAACAAGCTCAGAGCTGCAATGACATGGGTTTAGTCCAAGTCAGATAAATGTGTTAGAAATGCCTAGTCAAAGTCCAAACATAAAGCTGTGGCAAGGTTTGAAAAGTCATCCAGTCTGACGGAGCTGGATCGATTTTGTATGGTTGAAATGATTATCGTTGATCCATGAACAGAAAGTTTCCATAAGTAAGAACTGGTGGAACTGTGCATCAGCTGAGTTTATTCTATGAGCCGCTTCTCAGTTAATCGCTAGTAAAAACGTAGATAAGCGGTTAATAGAGGATACATGTTGTAATGACTTTCTGAAGGTGGAGAGAGAGCAGGAGCTTCTTAAAGAAACAGAGGCACCATTGCAAGGTGGCAAATTACCAAATCAAATTTCTGTTAAGTCACATTTTAACACATACAGCATTTTTATAAAAACTGAAGGTAAGTTACTTGATTGTGCTATCAAATGACACTATATGGCTGGAAAGTACTTAATAATAAGAATAACATAAATAATACATAATACTGTCCCGCTAAAAACTGGAACTGGTTTACTCCATGCTGAAGTAACAATAGAACGTTTTTGAAAAACAGAGTCTGAACAAAGTTGATTGTGCAATAAATAGAGCTGGGTCTTTATTTACAGAACATCTTGAAAAGCTAAAACATCAGCATAACAAGTGAACAAGTATGAGGAAGACAAATTATGTACATCTATGAACATATTTACAAACTGTGGTTAATCATAGAACATAAAGAAGACTTCAGGTATGTCTCTCTGTCCCTGTCTGACACCGTTATAGCTGTTTCCATTCACCCATAAAACCACACAAATTGAAATGACAAAAATAAATTTGCTTAACAAACGTGCCAATCACTAAAAGAATAATTTTTTTTTTAAATTACGTTTTTTCGCCAGAATGAAGTGTTTTTTCAGCCGTTTCAAAATAAATGTATTTCACAGAAGAGCATTTCCAAGGCTTATCAACGCCGGTGGTAGACAATGAGGCGTGACCAAGCTTAATCACGTGTGACTTCTTTAAAATTAATGTCTTATTTAATTTAAAAATCAATTGCAAAATTCTGAGCGTTTTTTTTTTTTTTCTTTTTCCATTTTGGCAGACTTTATAGTCAAAAGATTTGCGCAAATTTGTAACGGAAGCGACGTCACGTGAACGCAGTAGAGCCATGTCATGAACACGGGATGAAGAATAGATTTATGACAGAAACTCGAGTTCAAGAACACCAACACGAACACAGAGACACATCTCAGTGAAAGGCACACATACATTCGCTGTAAAACAAAACTATAACTGATATCTCAATGTTTAGGGTTTTTTTTTTTTTACACCAGCATTCCTTCACCAGGAATGCTGGCGTAAAAGGGGAGAACATAAATATATACTTGACTGGATGCGGAGCATTAAACTCGGCTCGGTTGGTCCCGCGTGGGTGGCTGCATCGAAGTCCCCCCCCCAACACCCAGGAATGCTCAACGTATGAACCTTCTGAACGTTTCATACCAGAGACATCTGGAGAAGATCTAGAGAGCTACACAAAACTTCCAGCGGCGTTTGGTTCTGACGTTTTGATTTTCTATTTTCTGGCTGAATGAAGTGCAACCAGAACGGGAAGAACTTACTTTAGTGCCTTTCGGCAGAAGATTTTTGCACAGCTAAAAAAAAGTTGATGAACAACGCAACCATCTTCTCAGTGGTTGACCTGTTGCATTCATGACCTGGATGGAACTATTATGCTACTGCCTGCAGAGCCAGACAATTGATTGCTAGCTGCAGTTAGAGGTAAAAAAATTAAATAATATAAAAATATAAATTCAAACCCTGCCAGTAGAGTACTGTTCAATCTGTCTTATGTATCTGAAATGATAAATAACACACACAAAAAATAAATCTCAATTAAAGGCTTCTTGACTTCTCCTATAGATCTGCTGGATTAGGAAGTTGCAATGAACATTAAGAGCATCAAGAGAAATCTAAAGAAAAATAATAATCTCATCTTAAAAACAGCTTTGCTCCAGTTTAACCGTCAGGAGAACCCATGGCGGCCAGCTGGTTTGTTTTAAGATATGAACCTGAGATGTTGCAGAACATGTAATGTGCACTCCGACGTCAACTTTTTCACCCTGATATTTTCACAGTAAAGCTCTCGTTCGTTAGTGAGGATATAGTGGTCTAAGGTCGTCGGACGCAGGCTTTATATGTTCTCTGCGTGAGGTAAAACAAATGCAATAAAAATACTAAAAGGCCTCAAGTAGTGTGTTCACTGAGGCACAATGTTTTCTCCCCACTTTGTAATTCTTCTTTCAGTTTTCAATGAAGGAAGGATTGTCCGCCTCTTCGTCCAAACTCACAATTTGTCTCTGATGAAATGACAGAAAAGGAAGTTAGACGTGCAGCTAATTGTATCAGGTAGGATTCTGCTAAAGTCGCATTGCAGTAGCAATCATGTAAACATGTCACAATCAAAAACTCCAGTGTAAGTTGTACAATTTTATAGCAACGCACACTATATTGGCACCAACATCGGTTATCTGCTGATATTAGCCATTTGTAACATATCAATATCATTCTGATAATTAAAACTGGGGCGATATTTATCTTTATTTTGGACTTTTCCAAAGGTGTCGAAATGGTAGTAAAATGGACATATTGGTAAATATCGGTTACCGCCCACAACAGCAACATTAAAATCAGATATCACTATTAGCCCATTTTATTTTTTATTTTTTGCATTTGTGTATCCGTACAATTTTATGTAATAAACCAACACAAAGTAAGTAAGTGTGGTGAAGAGTAAAACACTTTCAACATATTTTACAAATAAATATTTTTGCTCTAATAACTAAATAAATTCCAGTGCAAGCAATTGTCTTTTAGAGAATCCCATGTGTTAGAGTGGCCCATTCAAAGACCAGCGTTAAATTCAACTTAGAATTTATGGCAACACATATTAACAGATCCCTTCCCTCCAATCTGACTGAGTTTAGGCTATTTTGCAAAGAAGAATGGTTAGAAATCTCCAGCTCTATGTGTAAAGTCAGTAGAGGCATGCTGAAAAACTCTTGGTGGATAATTTTCTAGTTTGTGTTGGTATATTATCACACATAATACACTGAACTTTGTGGTTGTGATGTGAAAAAGTTCAAATGGTATGAATACTTTCTTACAAGCAACCTTAAAGGCTTACTTTAGGGTAGGCATAACCTTCCAGGCTCTGGCTCCTCCAGATGTGAACCTGGTCCTCAGTGGTTTTCTGATAGACGGGGTTATGAAAGTGCATTGTGTTGGTGTTTTGGAGCCTGTGGTATCTCCACAGCATCACGGCCCCGATGGCCACCAGACAAAGTATCGCTGTTTTGGGATGGGGGAATCAAAAGTGAGAGATGAGCAAAAGATGTTTCCGATTGCTTAGAAAAAGCTAAATGAGGCCAAACCATACCTGGAAGAAGGACAAAGTAAAGTGTTTTTGGGGTGGTGGAGGTAGTTTCGGGTGTAGCTGCGACACCTTGAGGTGGAACACCAGAGGATAAGATGATCATCATTATCGTAATGATCAGAGAGAAGGTATCTATAAAAACAGAAATATTTACAACTGCGACTTTCAAAACTTGCCTGGAGTCGTGACAGGATCATCTGTGGTGGTCTGTAAGATTTTAGGCTTTTCTGGTTGAGGCGAGGGCTTCTTTGATAAAGGTGTGGCGGTCCGAATCGCAGGCCCAGTGGTACGCTGCACTGACGTGGAGGCTGTAGTGGTGACTATGGGAGGCACTCTGCTAGTAACTGGAACCCGGGGTTTCTGCGTCGTCTTTGGTGGAATTGTAGGGGCAACAGGAGGGAGGGTAGTCGAGGCCTGCGACTCTGAAGAAGCTGAAGGAGTTGGAACAGCTGGTAGAGTAGAAACCAAGAGAAGAATGTAGCTGTTAATATTTTTATCTGGAACATATTAAAACAACAACTTCCTGTGATGATTTACCCACCAGGCACACATGTCCTCATATCCCCTGCTAGCATCATATTATCTGGACAGACACAGGTGTATTTCGGGGGGTGGGTGCCTATTTGGGGGGCAGCTAGGCACATGAATTCACAGGTGCTGTTGGACACCTGGCACCAGTTCCTTCCTGAAACAGAAAATGGAATACAGATTTGCTTAAGTTGTTGTACAGATGAAAGGTGTTGTTAACATTCTCTTTGTTGGGTTCTTTGTAGACTTTTGTATCGGTTCTAAGTATGTTTACATGCACAGCTGTGTCTTACCGGGGATGCAACTGTCTTACCAGCAGGCTGTTTGAGGTTGTGGTAAAGAACAATGTCCTCGGGGGACGAAAGATGTTCCGCCACTGGTGCGATGTCACCACCAGTCAGCCTGTTGGCGCTGAGGATGGCGTTGTTGCTGACGTCTGTCCAGAACACTCGTTCCTAAAAACGACCAGAGCGCCACTTCAACACTTGGGAAATTGCGAAAAGAAAAATATCTTGACGATCAGAATTTATGGGAGATTTTAATTATAAAAAATAATTTCTACCTCGAACACAGTGAGTCCCAGCGGGTGAGCCAGCTTGTCCTCGTCAATGATCAGGGTGCGCCGACCGCCGCCTTGCACGTCGATGCTGGAGAGCGTGTGCAGCTTAGAGTCCACCCAGTAGAGCCGCTGGTTCAGCAGGTCTGAGTCACCAGTGGGGGTTGCATGAGAAGAAGACCATTAGCATTAATGTACACATGAATAAATAAACACGCTGAAACCAGATGGGGCGTGGGGTCACCTATTGTGATGCCATTAGGCCACACGATGTTGTCCGTGACCAGAGCAGTGCGGTCTACTCCATTAAGGCCTCCCTTCTCGATCTTTGCAGGACTCCCCCAGTCGGTCCAGTAGATGAAGCTGTAGGGTGAAAAAGTTTAAAGATGCTGGCGGCTGCAGACCACACAAACATAAAAAAGAGACAAAAAAGCCCTCCAAAGAAACGCACTTGGTATGTGGGTCCACCACAATGGCACGGGGCTTCGATAGCTCTTGGTGAAAGAGAGTTTTGCGGCGGCTACCGTCAGCGGTTACCACGGAGACGGTCTTCCGAATGCTGTCAGTCCAGTACAGGTTGCCGTGGACCCAATCGAAGGCTATTCCTTCAGGACCATCGATGTCGCTGCCTATCACCACATGGTGATGGGAGAAGTCCTCTGCCGAGTCCATTGGGGTTCTGGGTGAAAGGTCAAAGCAGCAGTCAAACAAAACCAAACGGGAACATCAAACAATAATACAGTAACTTAAATGTGAATTTAATCTTGCTAACCTGTAGATTTTCTTCAGTGAAAGATCGGACCAGTACATCTCTTGGGTGGCCACGTTCATGTCCAGGGCTACAACGTTCTTCAATCGGGGGATCACTCTTGTGTACTCACTCCTGTCCAGGGTCATCTTTCTGACCTCGTGACGGTTGGTGAAGAAAAGGTAAGGTGTTGTACCTGCAAAATAAATGTCAAGAACTTAAATCTATTTTGAAATGATTAACTCACAGGTGTCAAACTGGGCCAGTGCCCTGCAACTTTTAGATGTGCCTCTGCTGCACCACACCTGAATAGAATAATTAGGTCATTAAGGCTCTGGAGAACTGGTCTACACAATAAGGAGGTAATTAAGCCATTTCATTCCAGTGTTTTGTACCTGTGGCACATCTCAAAACTGCTGGACATTAGGTCTTGAGGACTGGAGTTTGACACCCCTGGACTAACTTTTTTTTTTGTTTTTTAAATAAAGTTCAGTTTTCAAACCGGGGAGTGGCTGTGGAAGAGTCATTGTGGCCAGACAGGCAGTTCAAAATAAAGTAAATTTGAAAGTTTTATGGTGTTTAAATTTATTTCAAATTCTAAACTACAGCTGAGGGTGCATTCACACCAAGCATGTTTGTTTGGGGAGGAGTGAAGTTGTAATCGAACTCTGATCCGACCAAAAACCCACGTCCCGGTTGGATTGAATGATCTTGAGGGTGGTTCCGATGCTTATGTGGATGCAAGTGGAGCAGAAAGCAGGAAGCGGAATATAGCATATGGCATTCTGGGTGAATACAACCAAAACAAATGCGAGAATCTAACTCTAGCGGGAGAAATGTCTCGTGGTCTTTCACCAAAGTTGAATCCTGCAACCCCTAAAATCTGATGCTTCTCCATTTTTGTTTACATTTTATGAAGAAGAAAATTGCGCTGGTGCAGCGCCACCACAGGCAAGGAGGGGAACAGGTTTTTCAAATTGTTTGGCTCGTTTGACACAGTGAAGTGTGAAAGAGAACCACACCAGCTGAAAATGTAACAACATTTGCAACTTTTGGTTTCCCAATCAAAGCAAGTCTATCGGGTGTGGAAACACCCTAAAGCACAGAGGATTCCTCGAAGTAAACTTTGAATAACCTTGACGAAAACTCTCATCTTCACTTTCAAGCAGGACAGCAAGCGCTTTTGTAGAATACTTTAGATCACATAAAGCATACTTCAATTGACCTAGTCAAAGTCCAGATGCTTTAAGAATCTCTGGCAAGACTTGGGAATTGATTTTTACAGATGTTCTCCATCCAATCCGACTGAGCTTGAGGTGTTTTGACAATCACAGTGTCTAGATTAGCAAAGTTGTTAGAAAGACAACACAAACACCTACAGCTGTAACAAAAGGTAGTTGGGGGTGAGTACAGAAGTCCACAATGTACTGTGTACTTCAAGTAAGCGACGTACAGTTTAGGAATGGGTTTTAAAAATCTGCTTGGAGGTCATGCTTACCAACAGCTTTGCAAGCTTGCGTCGCCGGGTCAATGTGATAACCTTCCTCACAGTCGCATTTGTAGCCACCCATCTGGTTGATGCAAATTTGGCTGCAGGTTTCTGGGTTTGCGCACTCATCAATGTCTAACGCGGAAAGGAAAAAAAAAACAACAAAAGTTGAGTAACCAGCTAGAACATTGCTAAACCAATGACAATGACGGGTTCCTTCTTATCTGAAAGCACAGCCTGTCACAGAGAGAGACAGCAAACAGGTTTCTGGCATCACTTCTTAGCCTGAGCTAAGTTCACAGTCTGACCTAACCTGACTGAGACGGAACGGATGTTCAGTCACTTTGTCCTGCCGCTCCGTTGCTTACCTTCACACCGTCTCTTAGCGACGAGGCTGTATCCAGCTGGACACAGGCACTCGTAGCCGATCTTCAGGTCGTTGCAGATATGAGAGCAGCCGCCGTTGTTGTAGAGGCACTCATTGGAGCCTGCAGAGACAAGAAGGTGATTTATGTTCCCGAGGATATAATTGCAACTTTCGGAGGACACAAATAGCCGTAATTAAGCGTGAAGCTTTGGAGGCGGAGTGTCGCCGCTCACCGCACTCCCTAAGCGGCTCGTCTGACCAGTCCCTGCAGTCACGCTTGTTGTCGCATACCCGCTCCAGGCTTATGCACTCCCCGCTGCGACACTTGAACCGGTTCGGACCATCGCAGTGGCTCGCTGGGGGATGAGAGGGCACGAAAAGCGCATCAGGTAACATCCAAAACACGCCGCTGGTCTTTGGGAAGACAGAGCGGGAGACCGGGTTGATGTATACCGTTGACGCAGCCGACTTCGTCGCTCATGTCTGTGCAGTCGTACCGGTGGTTGCATTGGCTGCTGCCGTGGATGCACGTGCCATCGCCGCATTCAAACTCGTCAGGGCGACACGTGGAATGAGCTACACAAAGAGGGAGACAACAATGGAGGCATTTTATTATTATTTTTTTTTACATCCGTTCTGTTTTCTACGTTTTTTGTCTCTCATTGTGATTTCCTGGTGTGCTAAAGTCTTAGAAATTCTGGTGGAACTGATTACTTTGTTTCCCATCTTTCATGGACTTTCTTAAAGTTGAGAGTGAGGAGTTCCTTCTTGATACTTTTACCCTACTTCATGCTGTCAGACAGGTCCAACTTAAAGTAGGAGCTATGTCTGGAATAATCAGGCTCAGCTTTTGCAGTTAAAACATAACAATTTGTTGTTTGTTTTTTTAAAAGGACAACAATTAGCTACATTATCTACATGGTGCAGAAACCTATCAGTTAATCTTTGAACACAAAATGAAGTGAAATGAAATCATTTACCACATCCAGCTTCGTCGGATCGATCGAGGCAGTCAGTGTCGCCGTCGCACCTCCAGCTGACGTGGATGCACTCCCCGTTGCCGCACTGGTATTCCTGTAAGGAGCACTGGTGAAGGGGAGAGCGCGTGGGGGTCCTCGTGGCGCAGTTCTGGGGCCACTCGTCCGAGCCGTCCGAGCAGTCTGCGTCGCCGTCGCAGGCCCACAGCCCGGGAACGCAGACGCTGTTGCTGCACTGGAAGGCCTTGCCGCTGCACGTGAGCGGCGGGCAGGAGGCCTCGTCGCTGCCGTCGTCGCAGTCGCCATCTTTGTCGCACACGAAGGAGGAGGAGACGCACTGGCCGCTCGTGCAGCGGAACTCGGAGTCTGAGCACCGCTTGGCCGCTGCGACAGATGGGAAGATATGTGACTTTTTAAAGGATTTTTTTGTGCCTTTATTTTACAACAGACGGACAGAAAAGAGAGACTGTCGAGGACTGAGGCGGGTCGCACGCGATACCTCCTGCGCTGGTGCCGCGCGCGACGTGGAAAGATTTAAGCTAACCACGGAGCAAAGACAGAAAACAGACCAGCAAAAAAACAAAACAAAATATAATAAATAAATAAGATAAAATAAATAAATAAGATAAAATACAATACAATAAATAAAACAAAATAAAAAATAAAATAAAGTAAAAATAAATACAATACAATACAACACAATAAAGCAAAACAAAATAAATAAAGTAAAATAAAATAAAATACCGGTTCTGAAAGAAGCCAAACAGGATTAAAAAAAACACAAACTTACTACAGTTCTGTTCGTCGGCTCCACTCACGCAGTCTGCTTCTCCGTCACAGCGCCACCTGCTCGGTATGCACTGGGTCACGTGACCCGTGCACTTGAACTCAGTCGGTTTGCAGGTTTTGCCCGCTGGGAGTGATAAAAAAAAGAAAACGTTGGATATTTGACCACCTTTATATTCGATACCCTACTGAGATATTTGGATTATCCAATTAATCATCCCAATAATCAACGGATTACTTAAATAATCGTCAGTTGATATGAATACAGTCCAACGTTGGAGGAGGCTCACCGCAGGTTCCGGGAAGCTCATCTGTGCCGTCTCCGCAGTCGTCTGCACCATCACACACCCACGTGGATCTGATGTTCTTCCCGTTCCCACAGAGGAACTGGCTGGGGTCGTGGGTTAAAGCCTCTGTGACAGAAACATGGACGCCTGGCTTTAGAAACGATCCGAAACCTAAACCAAAACAGTTTTGCATCAACAGAAGACCAAAGAAGACTGTGATGAAAGCGATCTTCCTCATTTTTGCGGAAGTCGCTCTTAAAATTGCCAAGCTGGGGCTTCCAGATTGGCGTTATTCGATGTCGATTTCAAAGTTGTTCCTTTTTTTTTTTTCCTTGAAACTGGTGCCACGTTACCGAAGTGATTTCCCTGCTGGGTGTTTGCTTAATGGGCTTAAAGTTCAGAGCTCCAAAGACAAACTGGACCAAATGGCAGCGTTATTGACCGACTGCAAAAAAAAAAAAAAAAAACATTTCTGGGAACATAACCAGTGTGCTCTTGATGACTGCACATCTTTGAAATGTAAAAAAAAAAAATCTCACATAATCTAACCTCAACAAATTAGGTAAAAAAGGAACAAAGAGGAAAAAACCCAATTGGTGACGTAAAGAATCGGCAAAAATGTATTGATTTCTATGCGATCTCTCGTCGAATCTGCATCGATAAAAGTTGTATATTTTTGTTTGTTTTTCCATACCACTTTTTCAAAAGTGTTTGAAATAAATGTGCTTGGCCGGCAACCAGTTCCGACATGTTTCAACCGTGCACCCAACAACCCAGCGTGCGGAGAACTGGCCTGAGAGTGACTTCAGGGGCGCCTGAGTTTCAAACCACAACTACAGGAATGTAGTTTCATCACTGTGTTGTTTTCTTCTTTTGTTTTTTTAAAGAAAAAAAAACATCTGTGCCCACTGCGATGGAAACGTCAGCTCTTTTGGTAATCGCCGGATCACTAACATGAATTTATCCAAACATAAAGGAGCCGATTTTTCTGGAATTGACACGAAGGCCCCCTTCGCCCCCTCCCCACTTTGTGTGATGTAACAATTCATTTCAGTCGGTTTTTATGCGATTGTTGCACAATTATAAAGTGGTGCAAAACAATTTAAATTTTTTTTAAAAATGGACAAATGAAAAATCAGCACTTCCGGCTAAACTTGAAACGTGTCAGGCTGTGTTTCTCAGCTGGAAACATCTAAACAAATATTGGAAAAAGAGGCAGAACTGGCAGCTTACCTGCAGCAGAAGCAGCCGTTTGTGCGTCGTATTTTTTTTTATGTACAATAAACAAAAAACACGACTTTCGCCCACAGCATGACGCCGCCGCCACCGTGTTTCAGTTTGTATTGACGGGTTTGCTGTTCCTGTTTTTATCCTTTTATTTTTTTTGTATCATAATTTGAAAAAAATACCGAGTCGATTCTGAAAGCGCACTTCATTTCATTTAGGCGGATCAGAGTACATGGGGGTGAACTCCAATTACACATCGACTGCTCTGTAAGTGTTCATTTGCAAAACAAAGTTACATTTATGTATTTGTGTGTAACTTTTCTTCCTCTTTCACAAATTTGCATCACTACTTTAGTGTCACTCTCTCACATAGGCCTATTTTATTTTATTTTATTTTTTTGAAGTTCTTTTGAGCTTTTCAACAGCCAACAAGAAGCTCAAACCTCACCGGATGTAAAAAACCCCCAAGGCAACAGGAACCGGTAAAATTGAAAAAAATAAATAACTAAATCAAATAAAAATCAATGCTAGAAGATACTTCTTTATTCTCGTTATTTTTTTTGCAACTTCAGACCATTTTGCCAAGACGTGTAAATACGACGTATAGCAGGAAACGTTTCCTCCTTCCAAGCAGGGAATTTGGAGCGAGCCGCAGATGATATGTCTGACCTACATACATGCATAAAGAAGTGAGGCCTCCCCTCCTCATCTGGTACAGTCAGAGGACAGAGGGCCCTGCAAACCCTGGAGGAAAAGTTTGAATTGTCTTCCTGTCAAAGCCACACGACTGAACCGCACCACACAGCAGGAGTAGGAGAAATCCACGGATTTGAAACGTTCAAACTTGCAAAAAAAAAAAAATAAATAAATAATAATAATAATAAAACATAGTGGAAATGTGAACTTACTGGTCAGACCAAAGAGGCAGATGACAAGGATAAGAGGGAGTCTCATGTTTCTGGCAGATGAATGAACTCTGAATCCTACCGGTTCTTATAGAGAGGGAGTTGAACCCCCAACCCTCCCTCCAAGAAAAATTAATGATAAAATTAAAAATTAAAGAGAGAGAAAAAAAATTGGCAGCAGTGTTTTATGAATGGTAACTTGGGCTCCGGCACCGCAGATGCTGCAGGCGTCTCGGTCTGACACACAGTGCGGTGTTTGACAACATCAGGGCCATTTCAATGTGGTCCACGGGCGGGTGGGCGGGGCCGGCGGGGGGCCCCGGCTAAGGGGTGGGCGGGGTCAGGGCATGGTGTGATTTCGGAGGTGCACGCCCTCCACACGCAGGAGGCGGGGCTTTACTACAACATTTAACCCCTTCGGCGGTCTGGAGACATTGGGCTTCATTCATTGGAGGCGAAGCTCTGGGCATGTGATCCGAGGGCAGAGAGGCAGCTGGGAATCTGGACTGGATGGGAATGTGTTTGGGGTCAAGGAGAAAATGTTCAAGAAGAGAAAGATTTTTTTTCTTCTTCTCCTTATTTCCCCAAATTGATGACTTTGGTCAGTCCAACACAATGGCTCTGGATCTCTTTAAATCTACGTTAGAACAAGTAGGAAATCAACATATACACTGACTATGATATATTCTGATTATTTTTTTAACAGTTTCACGTCACACACACAAAGCACCGCAGACGTTGTTAAGGTTCGATGTTGTACAAAACACAAAGTGGAGTGTAGTTATTATTTTTTCTACATTTATTTTTGGTTCAAGCAGGACAATCCTTTTGCTGGAACTATTGATAATTCCGTGTTTTCAATTCATATTCTCACAGATTCTCAATTGGCTTTAAGTTTGGACTTTGACTGGACCGTTCCAACGCATTAATAGAGTGACATTTCTTGATCGGATTTTATTCAAGAGGTCCACGAATGTACAGTGTCACCTTCCTGAAATAATGCTCTACATGTAAATTTTTCCAAATGTGATTTTGGCAAGAATTGTCTTCCCAGGACAGTACAGGACAGGACTCTGTCCTGTCTTCTGACAGGACAGATAATCATTGTATTCAAACTGACTTAAAAGTTGAGTTTTCCGAGCTTAGAGTCATAAAAACAAAGAGAAAGTGTCCCCAGAGTTTGTAATTCAACTGGAGAAAAGTTGGTTTCTCAACAACATTGACCTCAAAATCCAATATGGTTGCCTTACGTACAAAACAGACAGTTTGCATCAAATCACATCTTTCATAGACCGTTCTGCATAATCATCTTGAGGAAATTGGTTGCTATACTTACTAAAAAATACAGACAAAATGTAAAAACAATGGTGAGCTAGTAGCTGTTAGCCTGTTTAGCTAATGCAATGGATTTTAAAATGACTGGAACTCGGTTTAAATTGGGCTCGAAATCCTCGCTCCTCCTCAAGGTGAGCAAACCGTAGACAGGCGGAGTCAGCAGATCCCATTGTTGGGCCTAACGGGTTCTTTAGAGGCTGCCGACCGTGAGCATCAAATCAGGTTCTGCCGGGTCGAAACGTGGGTTTCCTCTGGCTCTCCCAGGGCGGGAATTTGGGTTTTGCATAACCGTCAGTTGGGAAAAGCAAAACTGTGTTGCCGTTAACCCCGTAAGCAAAACCTCTTTGATTCAGTAGCTGTTTTTGCAGAGATTCATTGGAGAGCAACAGCTTGACCACTTCGTCAGAATGTAAATAATAATAAACAATAATTGTTTCACTGCAAAAACACAAAGTCTTACTAGGCATTTTAAGTCTAGTTTTTGGTGCAAATATCTTAGCAAACTTGAAATAAAGGAAAACTAACTTATAAGTACATTTTCAATGTATGAGTTTAAATAAATCATTTCCAATGGCAGATCATTTCACTTCTAATCCTGAAAAATTGTTAGAAGAGAAAATCTTCCAATGGAGCTAATAATCTTTAATCAATGTTAAGAAATTGACTTAAGCTCTTATGTCTTGCAGAAATAGTTACTTTTAAAAAAGGTTTTGTCTTATTTCAAGTGTACTAAGAATTACTTGGTAAGACTTTGAGTTTTTTGTAATGAATTGGGTTAGTGCACTTCTAGAAAAATAAGCCAAAAGTATCAGGCAATAAGTGAAAACAACACATCAAAAAACGACAACAAATAAATACATAATCCAAGGAGAATTGCAGACAGCGAAGGGGGGAAAGTACAAATCCATCACACGGAAGCGACGGCGGTATTGAAAGTGTCCGAGTTGGGGCGATGAACTGGAGTTCTGCTTGTGGAGTCGAGGGTCCTTTAACCAGGGCGAGACACTCTGCAGGCCCGGCTCTGTGTTTGCTCAAGTGCTGGAGGCAGAAGGAGAGAAGCGTGTGGGCGTGGGAGGGAAGGAAAAATTCCCAGCAAGATTTTTCTTACATTTTTTCAAAGTTGAGCCCGTCAGTTGAACTGCGGTGTCACTCAATGCAGTTATAACTATGGGATTTAAATTCATTCAGGGTTTTTAATGACATAATCCGACCATTTGGAGAGGAATGGCTTTAAGAATCAGGAAAGAATCAAACAAGTTGGAAATTATTATGAATTTTTCCTCCTTTCTTTCCCCCTCCACACACACGGTCAAAATTATGAGCTCTAAAAATAAATAGTGGTTCTCAAGAGGCCACACCCCAAACTGTCTGGTTTTTAAAAAAGAGACCATCATGAATCACGTTTAAACGTCTTCATATGCAACGGGACAGACTTCAGCTCACACCAACTGTAGTGAATCTGGTTAACGTGACGTTCAGATGATGCATCTCATTGCATGAAGGCATCATACGTGTAAAAAATTTTATATTCCACACAATAACGGCTTCGTTTCCATTACAAATGTGCACAAAACTTTGGCAATATTCTAATGTAAAAAAAAAAAGGTTTCCATTGAATAAGAAACAAAATTAAAATGAAATGTAAATAAGTTTGTTCACACGATGTCATTAAAAAAACATGGGAGCGTCATCTTTCTCCTGCAACTTCCTGTCGTCCTCTTCTTAGCGGTTTGTGCCAGTAGCAACTTCCGGTTGTTGATGGTGCAACCATTATGACGTGAAACGCGCTTCCAATAAGCCAATTTCAACCGCTGAGAGCTGGGGTTGCAAGACAGGAGTCCTCTGTCAACACAAAGTATCTGAGCCTGCTGTGAAAAGTGAACAACGACTGAGAAAAAGAGGAGGACGCTATTGCATGCTCTCGTGGGGCCCCCTGGTGGACAGATGGAGTCAATGCAGAAGTCGTGCTGTATGCATCAGAAACCAGGGCGAAGCTCAGAGTTCAGGCCTTTTCAGTCGTTGCTCCAGAACTATAGAGCAAAACGTTCCACTTTTCAAACTCAGAAATTTCAACCTTTTTTCCAGAAAAAATTCAAGTTTTTTTGTGGGACTTTTTTTTTTCTACCTTTTTTCACCGCACAAAAAGGCTTTTGCACATATTTGATATGTGACACAGCATTTTTACAATGTTGAAGGTAAACAGTGGCTTTGATGTGCTCCAAGATGGGAGCAAGAGACTGGAAAACACAAAATGCTGGCGCTTAAAGGTGCTACGTCCGGAGACGACAGAGTGACGCAGAACAACGACTGAACTGAGACGTGTTTATTGTACTTTATGGAATCCAGTGACAGTGACACGAGAAAAAGGTCCTGTCTCCCCCTCCCCCCTATTACCAAATGTGACCTGAGAGGGAGGAGGCGGCGGTGGGACGTACCGCGTTCCCGTCCTCGTCATTAAATTAAACACAGTGAAGACACATCCAGCATTTCCACAAACACGCATCCAAAAGGGACTTTGAGGAATGCAGTACACTCCGTCTTGACGAAGACGGCAAAAAAGAAAGATGTATGTCACTTTGAGTTGTAATTAAAAAAAAGAAGAATGACAAAAAAAAAAAAAAAAAAAAAAAGAATCAACAACAAAACCACAACCTGTCCATGATGACTCAGGCTCTGTCAGGGTGCCACTTACAGGAAAACAAAACAAAACAAAAAAAAAAAAAAAAAAAAAGAGAAGACACTACCATTCATTCTGGGACATGGTTTAAATATGAAATAGATGGTTCATAGCGTTCATATTTTTTTTTAATTAATAGTATACTTAAATGCTGACTGTGACACTAAAAATCAGCTCGTCTAGGTAAAACTAATCCTCTCCTCTGGGCGCCTCCCTGCTGCGTCTAGGGGAATATAAAGTCGAGCGAAGCGACGGGGTTCGCTTCAATCATCCTCACTGCCACTGGCCGAACGCTCCTGCAGAGGGAAACGAGACGTTTACTGCTTTCCGTACAAAACAAACTAAACACAGAGATTCATGTCAAACTATGAACAAGGCTCCTGACTTTTCCTCACATTCCTACAGTTTTCAGTCCCTTTTAAGATGGAAATATGACGACGTCCTGGAAGGAAGGAAGGAAGGAAGGAAGGAAGGAAGGAGGGAAGGAAAGGAAGGAAGAATGTCAAAGATTGAAGGACAGAAAGGAAGAAAAAATTAAAAGGCAAGACTTTCAGAACAAAAGGAAGAAAGAAAAAGAACGCAAGAGAAAAAAGACATAAGGAAAGAGAGAACAGAGGAAAAAGAAAGGAATAAGAAGGAAAGGCTGATACACAAAGAAAGAAAAGGGAAGAAGAAAAAAGAAAGAAACGATCAGAATGAATGAAGGACAGATGATAAGAAGGATTGAAGGATAAGAGAAAAAAGTGCAGAAAAATTAACGAAAAATGGGAGAAAAGAAGCAAAAACGGAAGGAGGAAAGAAAAAACACAGAGGAAGGAAGAGAAGGACATTAACTCTGGGAATAGTTTCCTGTCCTCCATTTTCTTTTCCCTCTCTTATCCAGAACGGGTTAACCCGGTCTCCAGCGCCCCCCTCACCTCCTCCTGCTCGTCCTCGCTGTCGTCGTCGCTGACAACAGGTTTGGCCCGGGAGCCGCGGCCTCTCCGCCTCTGACCTTTGCCCCCTCGGTCGCCCTTTTCCTTCCGGCTCAGCTTGATCTTCACCTTCACCGATCGAGCTGAGGGGGAGAAAACACGAAGACGTGAAGAAAACACTAATCGGTGCTTTACGCCTCTCTCTCTCTCTCTCTCATTCTCACATTCAGACTCGGAGCCTTCGTCCATCTCCTCCTCCTCCTCCTCGCTCTCCTCTCCCTCGCTCTCGTCGTCTTTCTCGATCTTCTGC